AGCGATGGCCTCCAACCTACTAGCGATGGCCTCCAACCTACTAGCGAAAGAATCCTTGCGTGCGTCCTGAGGATGAATCTTTGCGTTGGCCTCATGTGGGTCGTTCACTTGATGGCCTGTGGCTGGTGAGCCAGAGCCACTACGCAGAGTCGCACAGAAATTGGAGCGTTTGTGTCATTGATACGTTTTGTCGCGTTGCAAGAAGGTTGTCAAATTCCGTGATATTGTGGTTTCGAGAGCCAGAAAGTCGGCTGAAGAAACTGAAGCACCCGGAAGGTTTGCTGGGTTTAAAACTGGTCTGATGTCTTACAAGCGGGGACACTCCAAACTGAAGAAATGTGTTCCTGAAATCCACCATTCGTGCAAACAAGTCAAGGTTCAAGAGCTACCAACCGGCAGTTCTCCTTGCCATTACTGTTCCAGCATGTGGCGCAAGGGCCGTATCACTGGTCTACGTATGTGTTTTGGTGGATGTGTTAGTCTTTTTCGGGCCAGCCAGAGTCTGGAGTCCATCTGAAGAACTCCAGAGACATGTGGAGCCAATGTAAGAAGATGCGTTGAGCGGTGGCCTCCAACCTAGAAGGGATGGCCTCCAACCTACTAGCGATGCCAGGAGTCCCTAGTAGTTTCTTGTTCCTAGTAGCGATGCCAGGAGCCCCTAGTAGCTTCTTGTTCCTAGTAGCGATGCCAGGAGCCCCTAATAGCTTCTTGTTCCTACTAGCGATGGCCTCCAGCCAATCTTCATCATTCCAATAATTCATCGATAATTCCATCCAAAGCCACTCTTCGGCGCGTTGCTCAGCTGAAAAGGTACCTCTGTGCTGCGCTACATGAAAAGCCTGAGGACTGAGTTGCGCTGGCGCCGGTAGATCAGAAGGGGTTCGAAGGTCATTTGAAAGTGAGGTTTTGCCAAAGATATTAATGAGGACACAACCATAAACAAGATAGTAACAAAGAAGCAATTGTCTTAAATATAATCAAGGAAATCAATAAGAATAAAAGGCCCAAGCAAGAGAGAATGAAACAAGAAGATAACAGCTCAAGACGATTAGAAGAAAAGAATATGTATAAATAGTGTTTTAAATAAGTGTACAAATAGTCTTTTGAAAAAGGTCTAAAGAAGAATGAAAGATCCAAAGAGATCAAGACCGGCACAAACAACGATGGACAGATACTCATTGACCAATCTGCCAGACCCGATGCTACGTGTCTTCTGCAGAACCTGCAGAACTTTGTTGCAATGGCCTCCAGCCTAATAGCCATGGCCTCCAGCCTAGAAGTGACTTCAGACCTTCCTTTTTCCTTCTTTCAATAGTAGGAACAAGAACGCTACGAACGAACGGGGCTCCTGGCCTTACTACTAGGAACAAGTGCCTCGCTACTAGTAACAATAAGAATTTAATTGTAATTGCTAGCAAACATTGTTACTACCAGTAAGGCACCTGTTACTACTAGCGAGGCACTTGTAATTACTAGCAAACAAAATTCTCCTAGGAGCAAGTGCCACGCTAGTAGTAACAAGTGCCTTACTAGTAGTAACAAGTGCCACGCTACTAGGAGCAAGGACGCTACTAGGAGCAAGGAGGCATCGCTACTAGTGCTCATGATGCTTTGACATCCGACGTTCAACACGGTCGCAGGACACCTGGGTCTACCGCCGTGTCGTGAACAACGGCGACCCCAGCGTGAACGACGGCGAGGCGGAACTCGAGCGGAATTTCTTTGGCACAAAAAGGTGAGAGGAGAAACAAGTAGTAACAGGTGCCTTACTGGTAGTAACAAAAAGCTACTAGTAAC